TTTTTTTTTTTGTTGTTTTGTATGTCCTACGTTGCCACTTAGGAAGAGGAAATCCCAGAGTTTAAGGAAGAAAGTTTTAAAATCAGAACATTATTCCTGGTCATGCCTGATTAGGGCATTAGGACATTACCAGAGTTGCTAAGGACTGCTATGCTAAAAATCACAATGAAATAAAACAGATTAAGATCCAGAAGAAAAAGGTCACAGTTTCTGGGCACCCAGCGCAGCGTAGAACATCACTGAGGCGGCCCAGAATGCCAGCACAGTGAGGCCAGTTAGTGCTCACCTTGTAGATGGTGGTTCCCAGCTGCGCAGGAGACATGCTGACCACAACTCCTGCACTCTGAAGGGCGGAGATCTTCTCTTTAGCTCCACCTTTTCCTCCAGCAATAATTGCCCCTGCATGACCCATTCTCCTGCCAGGAGGAGCGGTTAAACCAGCAATGAAGGACACTACAGGCTTGGCGTTTGGACCCTGGGAAGAAAGCGGTATTTTGCTCACTCTAATGAAAAATTCAATCAAAACTGTACCTCACATTCATAACTCTGCCAGCAAATGGTAAATCACTTGAGCAAGGGAAGCCCAACATTCATCCCAAAAAAATCCAACACAAAATATTACGCTGTGATAGAAACCACTGCATTCTCCTTGGAGATGAATCAACTTTCTATACAAACTCAGAAAACAATCCTGAGCACATTTTAAAATCTACTGAATACTAAACTTCAATTTCACTGGCAAAAGTTGTTTTACAAACACAGCTGACTTTTTCATTTGAAAAACAAAAAAGCATATCTGAAAATATGTTATATGATGTGTGATAAATAATGACTTAAGACACAGATTAGGTCATTTGACTTCATCCTAATATTGTATCTTAATTCATTGTAAATTCATCCTTAATAAATGTACCAAAATAAAAAGATGAGGTGGGAAGTATTCTGGAAAAGACCTAGGATTCACAATCAATTTCCCACTGGCTAAAGCAGTATGACCTTGGAAATGCACACTGCTTCTCCAGATCTCTGCCTTCTCATCCAGGAAACAGAATGGCTCAACTACATTGGAGGGCCAACAGCTCTCTCCAATCCAAAATTCTTGTCTAAGAAGGAACATCAAGACTGATTTGATTCAACAAAACCAATAAATAAATTTTTTATGCTTTAGATTTATCATATAGTCAAAGAAATAACATAAAATGTCTATATACCAACCAGTTAAGAGATACTATAAAGCAATAAATGAGTACATGGTTAAGTTTCACAATAAATGTTCACCACATTCTAATGGGAGTCCAGAGGTAATAAGGGATCCTGGTAAAACAGGTCAGGCAGAGAGGTTGAACACAAATGAAATCTGAGAGTCTTCACCCAGACTCTTTCATCTTCTTTCTAGATCAGGGATGGGCAAATCATTTTGTCTGGGGGTCTCTTACACCTATATTATCAAGGATATCAAACAGCTTTTGTTTTTGTTTTTTTTAAGTTTTATTTATTCATTCACTCATTTCATAAACAAGAGAGACAGCGAGTAACCCCAAAAAGGTCTTGACAATGTGATCCATTCCCCACCTCAACAAACCCTAGATTACTGGCAAATGTGTGCCCAGCATACTCAGAGAAGTCTCCAGACTTGAACTGTGAACATTCCCTTTGTAAGTCAGCCTCATGGAGTGTCGCATTTTACTACTGCATCACAATCTGGCCCCACAGGAGCATTTGTTTACGTAGATTACATCTAATGATAACACTGCATTATAATAGAAAATAAAACCGAAAATTTGTAATTATTTGTTCACTTAATAAACTAACTTTTAAAAACTATTTTAAAACTTTTAGTAGGAGGGGCACTATTTTATAACTTATTTTTGTAATTCTTAAATATTTAACTTAATAAAAGACAAATAGATTCTATATCTGCTTTTGCATTTAAACTGTTGCAATATATTACCCTGGCTGAATAAAAAAATAAAATCTGACCTCACACAGATACGTAGTAGAAAAAGGAAGAAATATTTTAATTGCCCCAGATATAACTGTGGATATTCTTTGATACTACCCAAACCTCTTCTAAAGGTAATTTCTTAAAGGTTTGATGCAATGCTGGAATCTGAAACCTCAGAAATGAACTTTGTGTCCTTTGTTACACTGAAACCCATTTAGTCAGTGTTGTGCTCAGAAAAGATCTTTATACCTACAATGAGTGTTGTTTTGTTTGTGTTTTTAGCTAGAGGGCTCATATACTCACCAGACAGAGAGACAAAGGAAGAGAGAAGAAAGCACCCCACATGGGGAATGTTCATGCCACAAATCCCTTCTCCTCCATCTCTCCCTCCTTTGGGGATTTTGGTCAAGCACACACCTGTGCCCAGCGTGCTTCTCAAGCTGTTGAGTCCTGAATCGCACAGTGAACCATGTGAAATCCAGCCATCCCCACCACGAGGCTAGAGAGCTGGCTTCCCACAATGATTCTGTAATAGGCTTTAGTAAGTTAGAAAATACTGGTTCACTGAGTTACAGAGATCTTCCCCACAAATCACAGTCTTAAGTATCACTACCAATCTTATTAGAAAAGCATTTAAGTA